CCATTGGGAGCTAGAAAATAATAATAATAATATTATTATTATTATTATTAGCGAACAAGCAAACACAGACCAATAGACGCCTCGGTTGAAACAACCTCCAAAGAAACAGCCACATATTTGCCCATGTAGTCTCCATCGTCGTCGCCGTCGTCGTCACCACCACTACCACTACTACCACTGCCACTACGACCACTACTACCACTAACACTACTAAAGTTACTAACAGTATAGACTTCAATCTTATATCTCGCGTCGTCAATTAGATCATTTAAAGTGATAATACTATTATTTCCATTACTATTACAAGCTAAATATTTACTAATACTGCCAGAATTACTAAAATTATTATTATTATTGTTATTATTATTATTGTTGTTATTATTATTGTTTGTAGTAGTAGTAGTAATGTTGTAGTAGTCTAGTTCGGTGTAGACAACATTGAAATGAGTGCATGTTCCAGAGTCTGGTCCGAAGATGTTTAAGGTGAGTTGATTGTCGTTGTTTTTTGTTGTTGTTGTTGTCGTCTTTGTTGTTGTTGTTGTTATTCTGATTCCTTTTGGTGGGTTGGGATCTGAAAAATTAGCATGTCGACAATAATGATGAAACTGTTATTCAGTATGCTAAAGTTATGAACTTGATTTATTGAAATTCAATTGCTTCGATCACAAAAGCATGAACGCAACAAAAACAAACAAACAAACAAACAAATAACAACAGTAAAACTAAGTTAATAAGCAGAAGTTAAACAAACTTGTGGTTAAATTGATACTAAAATGTCTTCCTTTAACATCGAGCGTTGCGCCTCTTGTTACAAAATAACCCTCAACTTTATAAAGCGAGCCGGGATTTAAATTTAAAAGTCGAAATGTCTTATTCTCTAGTTCAGATTTCGAGAAATTTATTCTGACAAACTTATCTGGCATGGCGTGATTGCTATAATTAACGATTAAATAATCGAAATTGTTGGTGGCTGTAGCAGTAGCTGTTGTTGTTGTTGTTGTTTCGTTGTGTTGGTGTTGTTTTAATGATAGTTGGATGCTGTTGTTGGTTATCTTGTAGAATTCTTTCTGAAGTTTTGCTTTTGTAGGAGCTGTGGCGAAGAAAACAGTTAACTAAACAAAATTATGAAATCATGTATTCATTACAAAGCCTAAACATAGACAACATAAACAACAACATAAACAAACATCCACACAAACAAACACGGAAAACAGGAAAAACAACAACTACATAGACAATAAAAAAAACATAGACAACCAACAATACATAGACAAACAACAAAACAAAGAACAAAGAACATAGATAAACAACAACACAACAACGACAACACACCGGTAAACTCTTCAAACTCGGATTCATCTGAACAAACAGCATCGCCATCAGATGAATTCACTGATGACGAAACTCGAAAATCGTGTTTAGTGCCAGATGACGTCAGGTTTAGAACACAACAATCAACAAACTTATTATTATTGTTGTTGTTGTTGTTGTTGTTGTTGTCAATCACGTGACATCTAAAGTGAGGGTATCTTTTGTTTTCATGATCTTTGACGGCCACCTGGTCAAAATGTCCGGATTGCTGCCAATCGAAGCAGACGCTTTTCGACGTGCGATTTTTAAATCTAATGCCTTTCGGTTTTTCAGGTTCTAAAAAAAAAATATTTTTGGAATTATTTTGTGGTTCCGACCAAATTATCGTGACATTAACAGAAAGTATTCAAACAAAATAGACAAAATCTAACTAGTAACTGCTGAATACTCCACCCATTCACTAAACTTTCCGGCCAACTCCGATCTAATTAATATATTCTGGACCCCCCCAGACGCATTCAAACCGGACAAATGAACGTAAGTGAAGTTCTTTTGAATGAACTTTGACCAGTTTTTATAATCGGACCCATTTAATTTG